AGCTCGGGGTTTCCGGCAGAGGAAGAAGGGTGTGGGAAGGGTTGGGCCAGGAGCAGATGCAGCCAGGTGCGATGATTGATGATTCCGCAACAGGAGCCACCTGAGATGCTGATGTTATGAGGTGGTGGGGGTGGGAGGAGGGGCAGAGCTCGACTCCACTGGGCCTAGGAACCAGGCAAACAGGTCAGGTTCCTCTCTTTCCCATCAGGTCTTATTAAAAACCAAACAAAAGAAGGAGAAGGAAGAGGATGATGAGGAGGAAGAGGGACAGGAGGAGGAGAAAAATACATGAAGACCAAGGAGAAACAATGGCACTGAGCTTAGATAACTATCTGACCTCAAACAGAAGGAATCTGTGAAAGGCACTAGCTAAATCTGTAAGGATCCAGAGAACAAACTGGGGCCATGGATGGAAATTCCCAGAAGATAGAATCTTGGCTCAACATTAAAAAAAAAAAAAAAATCTTTCTAGTAATGAAAGCTTTCCAGGAAAATAAGGTAGTGAGCCCTCTGTCACTTGGAGTGAGTAAATAGAACACCCACCTGCCTGTGATGCTGTAGAGGGATTAGTTTCAGCTTTAAGTGGGAGGCTCAACTAGACGATTTCCATTCTGTGGCTCCATGAAATCCCACGGAAGGCTGAGCAAGGCGGAGTGCTCTGCAGAGAGGAGGGGACTTCTCTCTCCCTAGCTGTCCAGGGAGACACTGCAGTATGCTGCAGAGGTGGCTAAGCAGCAGGGTGCTGAGCTGCAGTTAGGGACCAGGCGGCTCTGCTCAGCCTGGTCAGTGCAGGATCTAGGGCCCTAGGGCCACAGAAGCACCTTGGACTTTCAGCCCAGGGGTTAGGGGCTGCAAGGGATGGTGTGGAGGGACACTGCTCCCCAGGGAGGGGCAGAGTAGGAGGTGAGCAGAAGAGGAAGGATCTGGTGTTGACAGACTGGGATGGAGGGCAGGGAGGAGGTAGGTAGTGGCAGCCCCAGAAGAAAACATCCTGGTGGTGATAGGAAAAGAAAGACTCTCCTGAGTGCTAACCCTGAGGAAGGTAGGAGGCTGCACTGCTCTGCGGTTCTGGGCCAGTTTCTGTAAATGAGCACCTGCAGCCCACACCTGGCCACACAGCCTTTCCTACAGCCTGTGATGGCACAAGCCTGCCCTGCCAGGGGAGGGACGGAAATGAGCACCATCCACACTCTGCTGCTAGGCCAGGGAAGCAGTATCAGGCACAGCTCTGGATGGGCCCTGACCCTGGGGTGCTGGGTGTGCTCATCCACACTGCCTACTTCCTGGGCAGCAGGTTTCTGCAGAGTTTACATCTCCTCTGCCCACTCCACCTTCCAGAGTGCTGGATAAAAGAGAAAACAACATGTGCGAAGGTATTTCATCCCCAAACATCCGCTAGCAAATTCTCTGGAGTAACCACTCCCCACGCTGTAGTTGCCCCCCACCCCCACTCCAAACCAAATGGCTTAGATATGAATAGCTTCCTTCCTGCCTTCTCATTTCTACTTGGCCTGCAATTCTGAGGCCTATCTGTGGTCATGGCAAGCCCTCCCTGGATGCCAGACACCTTGGTGAGGTAGTGGTCGAGAGACTCCAAGTTTCTGGGTTCTCTCATACTGACCTTGGACAATCTTAACTGCTGCACTGGGTGCCTTTTTCCTGGAGGGCAGAAGTGGGGAAAGCTGAATGTTTTGGGGGAGTCAACTGATAGATTTCTTATAAGATCTTTAGGCAAGGACCAGCCAATGAGGAAAAAAGAGTGGGGTTTAGGAGGTGTTTGTAGTATTCCAATGCTACGCATCAACATAAGCTCTCTCTAAAACATGTGGGACATTTTCCAGGTCTAATCACCGCCCTATCCCTACAGGGTAAAGATGAGTCATAGAAGTCACTTACTTAAAATGAGTCACTTACCAATGGGGAAACTAAACCCCAGGGGTGGAGCCAGAGTTTAGGACTTCTGGACAGGGGGCTTAAGGAAGTCATCTTCCAGCCCTGGCCCAGACCCAGGCTTGGTAGCCTTCCTCAGGGTGCCAAATTGCGTGATGTGGACTAAGGCCTCTGATTCCTGGAATTGGGCCATTTTCCTCTGGACCCATCCCTCAGTCTTCTAAGTTGCTAGAGTTCCCCAATGGGACCCTATTACTTGGCAGCTTCCACAGATGGGAAAGGGTTAGGGAGCCCATCTAAACCATCTGGGCCCCAGCTGATTTCTGGAAAGGGGACGATCAGGTTTCAATTCTTCCCTTTTATTCCAGAAAGGCTCTTATTTGGGGCTGCCTCACCTCCCCCAACCATCTGCCTCAGAAACTGGGTCTTGGGTCTTGACAGCTCCTTGGGTCTGAGATGGTACCAGAGAGTGAGCCTAGCCTGACAATGAGCCTCACGGGTGAGGTCAAATCCTCCGTGTCCTTAGCCACCATCCTGAGATATCAAGGCAGCCATTCTCCCTGGAACCACCCCGCTCTCCACCAAGGGTAGTCCTGACCTGGGAACACCTCACAGGCCCTGGGAGCCAGAACTTTTCTACGTTCTCCTGCAGTCTCACTGGTCAGTCCATCCTCCACTTTACACAGGAGAAAACCTTGGGCTGGAGTCACCAGTGTTGCCCCATCCACCTGATGCCAAGCACTGCCTCCTAAGGTCCCGCCCCACCTTGGACCTCTCAGCCGGAGATAGTCGTAGCTTCGCCAACTTCCCAACCTCACTACCCCTCACATAAGAGCGAAGTCCTTCTGCCCTCTGAGGGTCACATCGGGACAGCTCTGGTGGCCCGTGCCAACAAACACCACCTTGGTCAGGCCCCTCTACATCTGCCACCTCTCCCTTCTCTCAGTCAAGTCTTCTAGAAGATTCTGTGAGGCAGGTCTGAGGAAGCAAAATGCAGAATCTCTCTGCCACCATCAACTCAGAGGTGACCGGCCCTCAACCCTGTACCCTGCCATCTCGACAGCCACAGAGGTGTTCTCTCCCCACCTGCAAGGTTGCTGAGAGGCTCCCAGGGAAATGTTCCCAGAGAAGCAACAGCCACTGAAGGACCCACTCTCCAAGCCAGGTCTAGGACTAGTTGTCAGGGATTCTTGTGAACTAACTGAGAGGCCTTCAAAAGATAGCCAGTTCTTGGGGCAGTGTAGGGTATTGCCAGGATAGGGGAGGGCCAGATGGGCTATGTCACCTCAAAAGGGGGAAGCCCTGACCTTGAAAACAGGTCTGTGCCCTCTGCTATTCTGTGTCCAATGCAAGTCACATGTAAGGTCCTATTCTCCCATCAGTCCTGAAAGAGCGTTCATCCAGTCAGGCTGGTGCCTGCTCCTTTTGCCTCAGTTACAATCTGATTATCTCTGCCTCTAGCAGACCTAACGCAGGCCTCCCCTTCCGGAACAGTCCCTCCCCAGCACACAGCCCAGTCTTGTCTTCTCTGTAGCCCTCCTTTGGGCCTGTGACCATTTTATTTATTTTTCTCCTTGCTGTCTATCTGGTCCCTTTGCACTGCAGGCTCCTTGAGAGCAGGCGTGGCAGGCACTGGGCACAGGAGAGTAAACCTCTCTGCAGGGTGAGGCTGCCCTCCCACTCTGCACTGCCCATCCCCACCCCTACTTCCCCCACGGAGTCCTGGCTTTCAGGAAGGGTTCTCCAGGGACCAGCCTGCTCTTTCCTTTTTGCCCTTGTCCACTCTCTTGATTGCCTCTGCAAAGCCCATCTGCGGGCCTCCTGTGTGAGGATCACTTCTCAGAAGGGCTGAATTCCTTGCCCCTGCTCAAGACTCTCATCTTGGCTCACCCCGGAGTTGGGGAAGGAGGGGGTGCCGAGGAAGACTGCAGCAGGCTGAGCCAGTCTCCTCCAGCTTAGTCTACAGGTCTGCCAGGCGGGCTCTCCCATTCCCCACTGCCCACGTCACTCAGACCGCCGCCCGTCACCCGGCCCCGCCCCTTCGCGGCACAGACACGCCCCTTCCCAGCCCCGCGGGGCCAGCAGCCTGCAGGGGACTGGGAAGTCCGCGCAGCCAAGACGGCTCGCCTGGGCTCCGGGCCTCACCAGCCGCCGTCCTCCCGTGCCCCCAAACCCGCCCACGCGGGATCCCGAAGCTCGGCAGCCTGGTGTCCATAATATCCTCGATCCATCCGTTCCTGAGGGCAGGGGCTCTAGCGAGAGCAAGCGCAGTATTCCCAGCCCGCTCCGGATTTTTCCGCATGGACTCTTCAGGCTCGGAGAACAATGGAGCAGCTCTCTGTTTCCTTCACTCCATCAAGCTTTGTTCCTCCCTTCTCCCCTGCTCGGCTTCCACTGCCAAAGGGTCAAACCCAAATCTCGGCGCAAAAACCTAGACCTTTCTCTGAAAGACCCAGGGTGGGGGATGAGGGGTTGGGGCCAGAGCCGGGGCTGAGGTGTGGGACGCGCATCCAGATGCGCGCAGCTGGCTGCCCGCCCGGCCCCGAGCCCCAGACGCTTCTCCTTGCCAAAAACCCCACACCCGGGAAATCCAACTCGCGCTCCCACTCGGGATCCACAGAGGAAGTGGAGCCTCAGCTCAGCTCAGTTCCAGAGCCAATTGGCGCTGACATCTGCTCTCCCCACATCTGTCCTCTAGATGCAGGCTCTCAGCAGAGGACGTTCCCCTGGCAATACTGACGCTGTCTCCACAGCTGAGGTCTCCAGCCCCAGATTTTGCCACATTAAGATTCGGGACTTTAAAATTCCAGGATGCCAATGGGTTCAGTTTCTGAGAACCTGGCTCCCCCGCGCCATTGTCCAGCCTCACCTCAGGCAGGCCAGAACAGCGCCTGGGCTCTGGCCCTTCGTCTCCAAGACGCGCGTGGCCATGCGCATCTAGAGGTGAGCCAGCCCTGCACATCTGGGCGCAAGGCCCCTCCTCACCAGCCCGCCGATCAGGAGAGTCCTGCGGCGGGGGGAAGGGGAGGAAGCTCTGCTTTCCCCCACCTTCCCCAGCAGCTGGCCAGGAGAAAGCCAGGGGCGGGGTGGGGCGGGGCGGCAGGACTCACCCAGCATCTGGCTGAAGAGCAGCTGCTCCAGGTCGCCTAGCACGGTCACCACGAGCTCGGGGTCCACCTTGAGGAAGGCCCGTTCCTCTTGGCCCTTGGCGGGGGGAACCGGCCCGGAGCCTTTCTGCGCCTTGGCCTTGCTGGAGAGCAGCTCGTCGTCCGACTTGCCGTCGTCGCTCACCGCCGCCTCCGGCGCCTTGCTGAGCGGCTTGACCTCCGCGTAGGGTCCGCGCGGGATCCGGCTGGGTTTTCCCGGGCTGGGAGCTAGAGGGGCCAGGGGGGTCTTGGCGCCGCCCGCCGGGCTGCCCTTGGCCTGGAAGAGCGAGTGCTCAGACTTGGATAGCGTCTTGGACATCAGCGGGGCCTCGCGGCCCTTGGACCCCATCTTGCCCAAACCCTTGGGGGCCTTGGCCATATCATCGCTCCACTCGGGCTCATAGAGCTGCAGCTTTTTCTCGGAGTCCGTGAGGAACGAGAGGTTCGTAAGCGACTTCTGTTTGCGCAGGTTGGAGGCGGGCGGCCCACCGGGGACCCGGCTGTCCACGCTGCCGGACTTGAAGACCTTCAGCTCGGCCGCGCTGGCCTTGG